ACACTGGCTACTTAGTCATCTCCCGTGAAGTTAACCCCCAAAGATACAGGCACAGGTGTGCATCTGTGTGAGTGAAGGAGAGGCCTTTGAAGGGTCTCTGCCCGAAGGGGGAGAGTGGTCTTTGCTTGATGGTGGCAGTGAGATGGGCCATTGCCATGGGCCCATAGTGACAGAATCCCAGGGAAAATGACTGGGAGGGGAAAGGGACCTCATGCTCCTGAGCATGCCCTGGGAAGGGTCAGTTCAGCGAGGGTACTTTTTCGCCACCATCAGTCCAGAGATGGGTAAGGACCTAAGTGGTGTGCACAGAAATATGTCCATTGGCATTTGTCTCATGCACTCACATACACCTATGTCTATGTTTGCATAGCTTGAATCCTCTGGAAGAGGTGAGATTCAACAAATAAATTATATATTGATTAGTCTGCTCTTTCTTTGTGCAACAGCCACGCCAGAACTGGCAAGCAAAGTGTGTCAGGACCCATGCCCAGCTGTGGCTAGCCTGGATGACTGTGGGCAGTTTTACTCCTTCTACGTTCCCTCCCACCTCCTCCCTCCCCTACACACTTCGTGATGTACATATTACCTTCCTCTTGGTGACATGTATGTGTCTGTTAGTATGTCTCTTTCTTATATACCTTTCTGTAGAAACTCTTCAAGAAGCCTTGGGCATTGCTTCTCAGACACATCCAGACACGCACATGAGTGTAAGTGTGTGTGTGGTAGGGTGATTGTTCTAGACAATTTCTGTTGTAGCTGACACTTAAGGGTGTGGGGGCTGTGTGGCAGATGCTGCTGGGCAGCTCCCGTATTGGTGTCTGGCAAGGGCTTAGGGAGAGCTGTACTTCAAAGCTGCTGATGAGGGGAAGGGTGGGGGTGTAACTGATGGTGGAAATCAGAAAAGGATGTTTGGATCAGGAGCAGATTGCAGGGGAGATAAAACATGCAGATTACTAAGGCCTTGTTTTTTTCACCCCCTGAGATATAAGCCTGCTTTCTTTACCTCTTTTTCTGAGTTTGGGTCAGATTTTCAATTCTTTGAGGCTGGTCCCCAAATCGTTTTCATGTGCCTTCTTTTTCTCTCCCTCTCTCTGTTGGGAGTGACGAAGTATCAGAAAATAATAGGTGCTAGAGAAAAAAAAAAAAAGAAAATCAGGGGCGCCTGGGTGGCACAGTTGGTTAAGCGTCTACCTCATGGTTTCGGCTCAGGTCATGATTCTGGGTTGTGACATTGAGCCCCGTGTTGGGCTCCATGCTCAGCATGGAGTCTACTTGAGATTCTCTCCCCTCTCCTGCTGCCCCCCTCTCCGACTCACGCATGTGTGTGTGCACGCGCGTGCACACTCTCTCTCAAAATAAATAAATCTTTAAGAAGAAAAAAGAAAATCAGTCACAGAGAATGTAATTCTGAAATTTTAAATCAGATGGAGTCTCAAGGCAGATTAATTATCAAGTGCAAAAGCAATTATACACAGAATGCTTAGGGCTCAGCTACTATTTTGGTGGGCAAGTTTGAAAATAAGCAACCTCTCGAAATTACCTAATTACCCATTGCCAAGGCTTTTGAAAATATCAAGGTCTATATAAAGAAAAAATAATCATCACAGGGAAAAAGAACTTCAAGAAAATGGAACTATTTACTGGAGAAGGAATGAAAACCCAGATTCCTTTTTTCACACACAGCTTTTCGGCAAGATTATCAAAATCTCTGTTCATTCATATCGGTTGCTTGGGAAAGGAAGAGAAGGAGGGAGAGGGGAGAAGGTGGAAGGAGACAGGGGCTTCTCTGCCTGACAGGTGGAGGAGAGACCTTCAGAGAATGGAGAAACTCACCTCATTGTGGAAATGGTAGGGCGTGGTCCCAGCGAACTCACCAGACCTCACTTAGTCCTCTGCACAGAGAGCTTCACTGACTACACAGTATTTGATTTCCAGAGGTGGGAAATCAACAGGATTCCTGGTCAGACTTTCCTTGAGAAGGCTGAGATAGTTTCCTCAAGATCCATGCTACATGGAGGCCTAGAAGGGACTGACTTCTCTCCCACCATACCCCAGTTCAGCTCTGAGAGAGGCAGCTCTCAGGTTTTTGAAGAGGCAATGCAAGTTTGAGCCTCCAGTGGCTAAAATCCCAAGAATTCCTAAAGAAAACCAGTTTGCGCTTTTCTAAAGAGGCTGACATAAAATATACCCGCTAAAGGCTGGTATCTGTTGATAAAGGTTTTCACCCAATGGCCCTTTCAAAGATTGGCTGCTCAGGTGACCTGGAGATCTGTAAAATGTTTATATAATTATTACAAACATTTCTCATCAGTTGACTTTTTTCTTTGTGAACTGTGTGAGTTTTTTCCAGGTAAGTTTATCGCATTTGGCTCCCCCAATCTTGGGGGTACCACTTCTACAAAACAGGGCTGTTGTATTTGCTGGTATCACATTTAAAACTTAGACTACACTTTTCAAACAATGGTCATTTTTGAGGGGAGAAACCAGCTAATTACAGTGCTTCTGTTAACTAGCTATTTGACCTTAGGGCCTGAGCTCTCCCTTATTTCACCTATGAAACAAGACGGTTATTTGTTCATTTATTCAAACACCTATTGAGTTCCTATCATTTTTCAGAGACTGTCGAGGCACTGGACAGACCAAGTTGACTCAGACACGAGACACAGTGAGTGAGGGAAGGAGGCCGTAGATGGCCTGTTACAGTTTGAGAGAAAAGTGCAGTGATTGGTTCAGAAGGCTGTGGTACTAGGTGTGGTGCCTAGCCTAGACAGGGAGTGGCCACGGAGTAATTCTCAGAAGCCTGGGCTGGAAGCAGGAGCAGGAGCTGGGCGGGTGGGCGCAGGTAGCCCTAGGCATTACCTGTTTCTGGTTAAAGGCTTTTTGAGGTTTGGAGGCTGTCCCATGTTTCCACCCATCAGTCCTTGTTTTGTTTTGGTTTTTTGAAGTCACGTAGAATAACTCTGGTCTTTATTATTCACATAAACCTTCTATTTTAATATATTTGAAGATACTGACCATTGTCTCTCTTGAATGTTCTTTTTTCCTGGCCAAGAATGTCCCAGTTCTCTGTTCTTTATGAAGGCTAATAACACTTAGATTTCTGGAAGTCTGCTCACTGGAGCACTGTTCACATAGAGCTTACCTCATTTGAGACCCCTGCCTCCCTGAGGGCTGTGGAATTTTTGCTTTACAGATGAGGACACTGGGGCCCCTGGTGGAAAAGTAGCTTACCCAGAGTGGCTCACTTAGGGAAGCCAGAACGCAAACGTGCTTCCCTGGCCCAAGCTCTCTCTACTAGAACATCCTCCTGTGTTTGATTTCAAGACCTGTTTATCCTCATCCACACCTTTTAACTGTGTTAAGCCCCTTTCACTCAGGAGGCTTTCCTTTCGATCAGATGTTGTATTCGTGGTCCTGTGTTGTCCGACCGTGCATACATAACACGCGTAGTCTCCACCATACTCTGGGTGTCGAGCTTAGGGCTTACCATGACTTCATAGGGTGGTTGTGAAGATTCAGTTTCAGATAATGCTTGCAGAGCATTTAGCACACAGCACCAATAGCGTCAGCTCTCGTTTTTTATTTTAAACATCGTGAAAATTTTCCGTGAACTATTCAGGCCAGGGCACAGTGCGGAACGGGGAGAGCAGGACGTAACTCTTTACTGCATCATTGAACATTAGTCTTGGAAAAGAAAATTTGGAGGTCATTTCAACCACCTTCCTTATTTTTTGGGATGAGGAGATAGACCCAGAGGTTTTAAGCAACTTTCCAGAAGACATAGAGCAAGTTAGTAATATTTGTGTGACTAAGCTAGCAATTAAGGTGTGAAACTGGCCAATAGTGCTGTCTTCCTCTTCTTAGTGAATGGAAGTAAGAGAGACAGAAAAAAGATGCCCTTTAATTTATTGGGTTTTGTGCGTTTGTTTTATAAATTAGGAGAGAGGGATCCAAGATGCTAAACAATATGTTATTACCAACGCTGGCTGAGTCTGACCTGCAATCTCACATAGTCTTTAAAGACTGTTCCAGAGATTGTATTGCTGAAATACAAATCTCATTCTTAATGCAGTTTTGGAAAATGTTCAGCTTAGGACAGAAGCCTGGGGAACAGAGTGCACACAAGGTCCTTCAAATCTGGGACTTGTTCTTCACTGTGTTTGTGTGCTGAGCACCCAGCACAATTGTAGCGAAGATGGGTACTGGTGGCCGTTTCTGAGTGAACAAATGCCCAGCAGGTGCTGAGTCAGATGAACCTCACTCTCTCCTGCCCACCTCCCTTAGTCTCCCCATTGCCCCTGCCATGGGGAGGGCTAAACAGCTTGGCCTTTGTGGAGTGAGAACAGCATCTCAGAATCCCCTGGCAGCCCCTGGGTGTCAGGAGTGTCTCCCCGCAAGTCCCCACCAGCACCCTTGGGTTCTTTGCTGTTGGAGACATGTCTTTTTTTTTTTTTTTTTAAAGATTTGTTTGTGTATTTCAGGGATAGAGAGCTTGAGCCAGCAGGGGGCGGGGCAGAGGGAGAGAGTGAATCCCCAAGCTGACTCCCTGGCGCAGGGCTCGATCTCATGACCCTGAGATCACAACCTGAGCTGAAATCAAAAGTCGGCCGCTCAACCGACTGAGCCACCCAGGTGCCCCTGGATTGCAGAATTCTTGTAGATTGGTAGGTCTCACCCACCTAACCCAGACAGCAGCTTCTTTGTTTTTTTTGTTGGTTTGATTGGTTTTTTTTGTTGTTTTTTTTGTTTTGTTTTTAACCTTTCAACTTCATGAGGTCCTTGGAGAGCATTTGACTTAGTTTTTATACAAACAGCTTTTTTCCCCACTTACGTTGCACGGGTGTGTGCAGCACTTGCGCATGACAGAAACGGGCAGCTGGGCTGCCCACGGTGAGCCGGGGGCAGAGAAGGTGCTGGCGGGTTGGCGGCAGGCCGCGAGCATGTGGCCACGTAGGAGCCGCTGGCCGCACTGACAAGACCGGACCCTGTCCTTCCTGCAGGCCACAGGCAGCATCCCCATCACAGTGCGGCACATCGAGTCCATGATCCGCATGGCAGAGGCCCATGCGCGCATCCACCTGCGGGACTACGTGATCGAGGATGATGTCAGCATGGCCATCCGCGTGATGCTGGAGAGCTTCATTGACACGCAAAAGTTCAGCGTCATGCGCAGCATGAGGAAGGTGTGTGGGAGCTGTGTGGCGGCCACGGCGGGCATCCCGAGGCTCTGGATCCGGGCTCTGCTATCCTGCCTGGCTGCTCGGGCAGGTCGTGACGGGAGCGTGGCGGGGACTGGTCATCCTGTAGTAGCCTTGAGGGTCCTGGTGAGGAAGGGCGTCATTTGACTGTGGCTATTCCCTGCAGACTTTTGCCCGCTACCTTTCATTCCGGCGTGACAACAATGAGCTGCTGCTCTTCATCCTGAAGCAGTTAGTGGCAGAACAGGTGACGTACCAGCGCAACCGCTTTGGGGCCCAGCAGGACACTATCGAAGTGCCTGAGAAGGACTTGGTGGACAAGGTATGGGCACAGATGGGAGGCGGGCTGCTCTTTGGGGAGCTGTCCGGCGTCTGTGGGGCCAAGAAGTCCTTGCTCCATCATTAAGCGGGCAGGCCTCGGATGGGAGCCATGTATGAAGTGTTCATGATGCGCTGAGCCCCGTTCTGTGCAGTTACACTCGACTATGGTGAGTTCTGTTACTGCCATCCCGTCTCACAGAGGAGACAGACACAGGCAACTGGCAGAGCTAAGCTTTCAAGCCCTGTGTCCCGACTCCAGACCCCGACTCAGTTTACCGCCCCCATGAATGGGCCTTAGACGTTGCACCGTGCAGAGGCTCTGCGGCAGACCAGTGGAAGCTCAATTTCGTGGCTCACTTGACGTTTTCTCTTTTCAGGCTCGTCAGATCAACATCCACAACCTGTCTGCTTTTTATGACAGTGAGCTCTTCAGGATGAACAGGTTCAGTCATGACCTGAAACGGAAAATGATCCTCCAGCAGTTCTGAGGCTCGGGGCCATCCACAGTAGCTCGCTGAGATGCTGGTGGGGCTGACTCCACACTCTCAGGCTCACAAAACCCAACTGCTGAGGGATTCGGAGAGGGCGTGCGGGTCCCAGGGCTGAACCATCTAGCTCCCCCCACCGTTTGCTGGGCTCAGGCTGGGCTGGGAACGAGGCTGTTTCTTTCTTCAGCTCCACTTACTGCTCCTCATGCCATCTTGGGTGGGCTCGCTTTGCCAGTGTTCCTCTTTCCCCTGCTTGGCAGCCCACCGCCTACGGAAGGTTGGTCTCCACTTTGTTCCTTGGACCAGAGTCCCTTGTGTTCAGGGTACTGCGGTCCGTTTTAGATGACCGAGCATATGAGGGTGTTACGAGAACTTGTTGCCCTCTTGGTGTGAGTTCCGGTCCTGGATGCTTCTACCGCTTTGGCCGAAGAGCAAGTTCAAGGTATTCGTAGTGTTTTTCTGAACTCTGTCCTGCAGGTTTCTCTGGGATTCTGTGAGTAGAGAAAATGTGGGCAGAAGAGCACACATGTGGCCCAGTGCCCTCCCCACCCCCAAGGCCAGGGATTGCTGTGGTCGCGAGATGGGAATGAGGCTTATTCTTGGTACCAGTTGTGCCTAGCAAGGACTGGTTGTCACCATTGCTGTGCTCCTTTGTTTTCTCCTGCTAGCCACTCCCCGTCCTCTCGTTGTACATTCAGTTTTTGTTCCTGTAGTTTTTATTTTTAATAAAATCTAAATAATGGTGGCTGTTGGTCTGAATTATATCTTCATGTCATCACACAGGCTCTCCAGCACTCCCCTTGAAGGCCTTTCCCATCTTCCGTTTTTGGTGTTTGTTGGAGGTAGATTTGTCTGTAAGAGCTATCTTGTTTGTGGGTGTGCAAAAAGCAAAAATGGTGTGGCTTTGCCTAGGGAATTCAGTTGGCAGTTGCTGCCTCTGTGACGTCTATGGAATCTATGAGAACCAGCGAACAACTGACTTGTACACCTGGAGGAACTGGAGGTAATCTGGCCCTGCCTCCAAACGGAGCCGTGTTGTTCATCTCCACAGCATCGCCATCTGGCCTCTGCCTGGAAATGCCCAGCTCTGCTCAGCTGCCCTTGGGTTGGGTGGACACCTACAGTTCTTAGTGTTTCTTACCTGAGATGAAGCAGAAATGTCTCCTTACAGCTTCTCTCTTGTCCAAAATGTCCTTTCTGGAAACTTCCAGGATGAGTCCTTCCTGTGAAAGTCCTGCAGATGTTTGATGAACCTCGTATGTTTGATTTCCTTATTCAGTTCCTTGCACATATCCTGGGGAGTCCAATAAGGGGAAGGCCCTGAGGAATGTGGGGAGATCTCTAAGAAAGCAGTCAAGTACTGGGAAACTGAATGGGGGACAAGAGGGATGAGGAAGTGGCCCTTGTAAAGGTGAGATCTTTAGGAAAAAGAATGGGAAAGAGCCAGCCCCAAGGAAAGAGCAGTCCGTGTGGCTGAAGCTTGAGGGGTGGAAGGGAGGAGCTGGGGCAAGAGTTGGGCCTTGCAGTTGCGGCCTGAAAGGAAAGATTTTCTTTACACAGAGCATTTCTGACACCAGATGTGTGAGTTCTCCACGCCACTCAATTCACTTTACAGTCACACACTGGGTGGCCCACAATTTTTTTTTTTTAAGGTTGTTTGAGAGAGTGCTTGAGCAAGGGGGAGGGACAGAGGGAGAGGGAGAAGCAAACTCCCCAGGGAGCAGGGAGCCCCAGATGGACGTGGGACTGGATCCCAGGACCCCTGAGATCATGGCCTAAGCCAAAGGCAGACGCTTAACCGACAGCCCTCCAGGTGCCCCTGGGTGTCCGACAATGTAAGGCAGCTCTGACACGACTTGGAATCAGCATGCAGACCCCACAGGGTAAGGGCTCAGTCCACAGAACTGCACCCACTTCAGACACTGATTGCAAGTAGTGGGACCCCAGGTCTCCCACACTTAGGTCCAACTTGCCTGCAAATCAGATTCCCATGACCCCCTCCTCAGGTTTGATAATTTGCTGTAACAGCTCACAGAGCCCAGGGCAGCAGCTGACTTGCTGTGACCGACTTGCTACATACTGAGGGATACAAATGATCAGTCAGATGGAGAGAGACATAGGGCGGGTCCCAAAGAGTCCTGTGTGCAGGAGCTTCTGTCCCTGTGGAGTTTGGGGTGCGCCATCCTCCTGGCACATAGCTGTGTTCTTGTTCACCAACCCAGAAGATCCTTGAACCCCTTCAGTTAGGGGTTTTTCTGGAGGCTTCATTACATAGGCATGATGATTAAATCATTGGCCATTAGTGATTAGCTCAACCTCTAGCCCTCCCCTCCCCAGAGGTCAGGGGCTGGGGCTGAAAGTTCCAATCCTTTAATTCCAGGGTTGGTTCCCATAGCAACCAGCCCTCATCCTTAGGGGTTTTCCAAAAGTCACCTCCTTAAGCTCTGGTGTAGTTGAAAGGGCTTGTTAGGAATAAGTAAAGACATTCTTTTCACTTTTGAAGAGATCTAATTTTTTTTCATTGAGATATAATTGACATATAACCTATTAGTTTCAAATGTACAGCGTAATGATTTGATCTTTGTACGTGTTGCAAAGTGATCACAGTAAGTCTAGTTAACATCCATCACCCCACATAGCTACAGATATTTTTCTTTTCTTTTTTTTTTTTTTTTTAAGATTTTATTTATTTATT